GAAGAACTGGATAGGGTTCCAGGCTCCTCCTGGCCCAGACCCAGCCATTGCAGCCTTTGGGTGTGAACTGGTAGATGGAAGATCTCTCTCTCTCTCTCCCTCTCTCTGTAACTATGCCTTTCAAATAAACAAATCTTAAAAAATGTCAGGTAAAGTCTGTCTTTTCAGTCCCTCTGAAGCTTTCTGCTTAGGTAGCATACATGACTTCCTTCATTCCTGGGATAGGTTCTTCCTCATAGAACTGTTCTAAGACAGCAGCCCTAAATGCACACACACACTCTTCCATCTGCCTCCCACTCCATCCATCCTTTAGCCCTGCCTCTTCCCTTGCTTTGTGTTTCTTAATGGGCTTTCCAATTGTTGCTGCTATGTATAGGATTTCATTTGTTTTCTGTGTGTATCTACCCACTAGAATAATTTTATGCAATGAAAACGTTCTCTGAATAATATTATGTGAAATTTTTAATTTTTAATTTTTTAAGGTGAACAAATTTCAAGTATTTCATTATACAGATTTAGGAGCATAATGATGCTTCCCATCCTACCCTCTCTCCTGCCCATGCCCCCACCTATTCTCCTCCTTCTTTTCCCATTCCTTTAATTTTTACAATGATTTGCTCTCAGTCTAGTTTATTGTTGAAAACTTCTGTCAGCTGCATACATTGTGCTATAAATAATTATATCACAAGTCTTTATTACTTTACAAGTATTTATGATGTAAGAATTCCCTTAATCTACATTGAAACACATTTGAAATATTTCTCAGTGTCAGATATTATTATAATCATTTTACTTGTGGATACAAATAATATTCATAAATAAATAATATTTCATCAATGGTAAAAGTTACTATTCTATGAAAATACTCATTTTTAAGTAATTAGGATTTTTAAGTATATTAAGAAGATTTATTCTGTTAAGTATTTCAACTATTATCATGTATTATAAGTATCTTTCTATTCAGTTTAGAATTTGGGATCCAAAATATGTAATCATTCAAACTGAGGTATCCAAAATTTAAAACAAATAAAAACACCAAGTGTAAGGTGTTATATTTGGATACAGTGGAGAAAAATACATTGGTAGCTCCTATACAGTCTATGTGTGTTTTCTCTAATTTTCTCCTAATTGAAGCTAAGTGAGAATAGCTCTTGGAAGGCACAGAATGAAGGCCAGAGATTGAAGATCATCAGATCACCAGTGCATCCAGAGGAATCAGCTGTGTGAGCACATGCTATGAGAGCAGAGACTGGGAAGGCACTGCACTTGACACCAGGCAGAGAGAGTTCGTATAGCAGTTGATCTCAGCGAGAAGAGGGGCTGGTGGTGTGGACACAATGGTCAGAGGGAAGTGGGCCCAGAGGATACATCCATGACTCTGCTCTCTCACAGAAGTGCAGTGCCAGAAAATGACTGCTCCCTCTGGACTCAGAGGTGATGGAACAGCTTCTGGCTGTGATAGCCCTTGAGTTACTGAAGTCATAGACGGTTTTCCCCTGTCTCTCCACATCTTCACATGCAACTTTCCTTAATCCAATTCGGAGTCACACCAATTTATCATTGTAAGGCAGACTGCACGTGGGCAGATACAAGTACAGAGACAACACACTATTCCCTAGAAGAAAGGAATTTCCTAAGTAGGAAGCAAGGGCAAAAAGCAAATATTGGGGTTAAATTTGAAGCTAACGCTGTTTCCCACTTATGCTATTAGTTAGTTCATCAGGCTCCATGTTCTTGGCTTTGCAACACTTTTTTAATCTTAACACTATTACCTCAATGGTTACAATTAATAAGAAAATGAAGAAATGGAGCCTCCTGGTGGTTAAAGGGCTCTTTATCACTGTGTTTCCTGACTAGATTTCTTCTTCGTCTTTTTTTTTTTTTTAAGATTTTTTTATTTATTTGAAAGTCAGAGGTACACAGAGAGAGAAAGAGAGGCAGAGAGAGAGAGAGAGACAGAGAGAGAGGTTTTCTATCTGCTGGTTCACTCCCCAATTGCCTGCTACGGTCGGAGCTGAGCTGATCCGAAGCCAGGAGCCAGGAGCTTCCTCTGGGTCTCCCACGTGGATGCAGGGCCCAAGGACTTGGGCCACCTTCCAATGCTTTCCCAGGCCATAGCAGAGAGCTGGATTGGAAGTGGAGCAGCTGGGACTCAAACCAGTGCCCATATGGAATGCCATCAGTGCAGGCGGTGGCTTTACCCGCTACACCACAGTGCTGGCCCCAATTTCTTCTTTTTTTAATTCATGCATTTTATGGGGTACAATGTGCTGTTCCAACACATGAATATAGCACAAACTATAGCGCCGGCCCCGGGTGTTTTATAAATCCATGCGTAAGAAGGGTCTTGAGAGAGTTTACCAAAAATGCATATTATGAAAATAATATGCATGGATTTCAAATTTTTTGCAGCTAAGTAAACTTATATTTTAATTTCATTTTCCATGATTTTTTTGATGTCCACTCATATTTGGCAGTCACAGTGATAGAGGATGAAGGAGATGCAAGAATCAATCTTTACCCTCAAAAATCTTTTAGCTTAGAATAGTGGAGGGGAGAGTTTCGAACACAGTATTATATTCATTGCGTTAGTTCAAAACAAGTTATAGATATGTACAGTGTTGGGAGGGATCACTTTCAATGTGATTGTTCAAGAAAGGCACCCTGGGAAAGGATGAGTTTTATTCATTCATTCAGCAAACTTTTTTCCGATAGCCAAGTCCCACAAGGCACGACTGAATTTCAGACTTTCTTGAGCTTTCTTTTGTTGTAACAAAGAACCATGAACTGGGTAGGGAAACTCCTGCCAAAATCAAGGTGTTCCCAGGGCCTGCCACCTCCATAGACCTGGGGAGGCTCCATCCCTGTGGTTTGCTAGCTTCTGGTTGCCTCAACATGTTCCATGGCTCATAGTACTTCAACAGTCCCATTTCATAAGTTCTCCCTGTGTGTCTCCAGTTGTTTTCCCTCTGTGTGTGTCTGTATGTGTCCAAACGACCCCAGTCATATCGGATTACTACCAACACTACTGACTTCATTTTTATTTGATTTTCTCCATAAATATCTTATTTCTAAAGATGTCACATGCCAAGGTATGGGGAGGGGGTAGGGGTTGGCAATGTTAGGAACCCAACTTATTTTTTGTTAAAGAAATACAATTTGGGGCTGACGCTGTGGTGTAGCGCACAAAGCTGCTACCTGCAGTGCTGGCATCCCACATAGGCACCGGTTCAGGTCCCAGCTGCTCCGTTTCCGATCCATCTCTCTGCTGTGGCCTGGGAAAGCAGTGGAGGATGGCCCAAGTCCTTGGGCCCCTGCACCTGCATGGGAGACCAGGAAAAAGTTCCTGGCTCCTGGCTTCAGATCGGCACAGTTCCGGCTGTTGCAGTGGCTGGGGCGTGAACCAGTGGATGGAAGAGTCTCTCTCTCTTTCTCTCTCCCTCTCTCTCTCTCTCTCTCTGTATGACTCTGACTTTCAAGTAAATAAATAAATCTTAAAAAAAAGAAATACAATTTAATCCATAACGGAGGTGCAGAGATGAAGTTCTCATTATGATAAGCATCAGGAAAGTAAAGTAATTCCAGCGAATTACAGCACACTCCTGCAGGTGATGGGATTATGACAGTTGAATACTCTGTTATTTTTTATTATTCTGGATTAATATGGGCCTTGAAATGGATTATGGGAGTTACATCTTTTGTTATGTTTGTTATTCTGGATTGATATGGACCTTATTCTTTACCCTATTTTCCCCTGGGCATGTAAACAAAGCAAAAACACAGATGGTGGTGACTTGCTATGGCTTCCCTGTTTTGCTGATGTTAATAACAAAATTTTCAGGGTTCCACCAACATTTACGGATTCTGTGGGTGGGAGAAGCAGAGTCAAATGACAAACACTAGCATATTTTATAAGATGCCTCTTGGGGGAGCGTTCAGCCTAGTGGTTAAGCCATCCATGTCCCACTTCCGAGGGCCTAGGTTTGATTTCTGGCTTTGGCTCTGGCACCTGACTCCAGCTTCCTGCTTATGCAGACCTTCAGAATGTGCCCCTGGCTCCTAGGTCTGGCCCTGGCCCAGCCTTGGCAACTGACAGCATTTGGGGAGTGAACCAACCAATGGGAGCTCTCTGTATCTTTCTGGTATTCTCTCTCTCTCTCTCTCTCTCTGTGTGTGTGTGTGAGTGTGTGTGTTTGTCACTATCCCTCAAGTAAACAAATACATAATTTTTTTTAAAAAGCTCATTTTTATAGCATCTCTTTTATAGGTAAAGTAGGCACAACATTTTAAACATTATAAATCAATACAGAACAAGATTTTAAACTGAAATGGGTTACCTCCAAACATTATGTAATAAATATATTTTAAATAAAAAATAAAATTATAATATTCACAAAAGTTAAACAAAAAAGTATTCCCCCAAAGAGGCACTGACATCTGATCAAAAATAGAAATGATGTCATTTCCATAAGGAAATTCTAAGATTCCAGAGATTCTCACAGAGATCTATTACCTGTGAATTACAAAATGTGGCTAAAACTATTAAGGACACATGAGTATTCAAGTCCCAAGTATCTAAACTTTTCAAACAAGGGAAACTTATTTCTTACATTTTAAAATGTTCATGTCTTCTAGAAATATAAGATTAAATCAGAGAAAAAGAACTGGTTAATATAAAATGACACAGAGGCAAATTTAAACTAGAGAAAATAAGTTACACACAAGGGGTCTTCAACAAGCTCATGGAAAATTTCAGTTGTGAAAAAACTGCATGGATTTAAAAACCATTCTACGTCAAAATAAACTTACCTTTCAATTCCATTTTTCCACAAATTTTTGTGAAGTTACCTTAATATGACTTATTTTTCTTAAGTTCCACACTACTAAGGAATTTGTTAGTAAGACGTCTTACTTTTTCTCAGAAAAATTTTTTCAAATTATTAGGACTCTTTATCTAATGATTTGCAGCAAAATGTAACAATTATTATTAGAAAACTTACCCAGATGCTTTCTTCTCGCCGATACTGCTTCCAGTTCCTCCCACCATCACTGAACATCAGGAGGTAGTTGCTCACCCAGTTTGAGCTCCCATATCCTCCCTGGGTTGCCACAGAAGTGACCTTCATTCTCTCTCCAAGGTCAATCTGCAGCCACTGGTATTTATCAGATACAAGAGGGGTCCAGCCTCCAGCACCTTGTTGAAACAAAAAAAGTAGAAAAGAAAAAGGGGAAATTATTTAACATAGCTGTTACTAAATTACAAACTAAGATTATAAATATATTAAATATAAGGTAATTATAGATTCATAATAGAAAAAAGAAGACATTCATTATATAAATGAATAGACTCTAAATTGTTTTCATTTTTAGCTAGGTGAGTCCTGATTTTAACATTTTATATTTTGACTTGAACAGTCAGAGAATTTTTTTTCATCTTTTTATTTTAAAATTTCAAATTATACAGAAAAGAATTTGAGTTCAGTGAGCACACATAGATTTTTTTTGTCTTTTTTTATTGATCTCTTTTTTTTTAACTTTTATTTAATGAATATAAATTTCCAAAGTACAGCTTATGGATTACAATGGCTCCCCCCCCCTATAACTTCCCTCCCACCCACAACCCTCCCCTTTCCCGCTCCCTCTCCCCTTCCATTCACATCAAGATTCATTTTAAATTCTCTTATATACAGAAGATCAGTTTAGTATATATTAAGTAAAAATTTCAACAGTTTGCACCCACATAGAAACACAAAGTGAAAAATACGGTTTGAGTACTAGTTATAGTATTAAATCACAATGTATGGCACATTAAGGACAGAGATCCTACATGAGGAGTAAATGCACAGTGACTCCTGTTGTTGACTTAACAAAATGACACTCTTGTTTATGGCATCAGCAATGACCCTAGGCTCTTGTCATGAGTTGCCAAGCTATGGAAGCCTTTTGAGTTCACTGACTCTGAATAATATTTACACAAGGTCATAGTCAGAGTGGAAGTTCTCTCCTCCCTTCAGAGAAAGGTACCTCCTTTCCAGTGGGATCTCACTCGCGGAGATCTTTCATGTAGTTGTTGTTGTTGTTGTTTGTTTTTTTTTTTTTGTGATTGCAGAGTGTCTTGGCTTTCCATGCCTGAAATACTCTCATGGGCTCTTCAGCCAGATCCGCATGCCTTAAGGGCTGATTCTGAGGCCAGAAGCACACATAGATTTAACATTTGGTCATATTTGCCTCATAGGTAAATTTTAAAAAAAAATGTATTTTTTTTTATTTGAAAGAGTTACAGAGAGAGGTAGAGACAGGGAGAGAGGTCTTCCATCTGCTGGTTCACTCCCCAGATAGCAGCAACAGGTGGCACTGCACTGATCCGTAGCCAAGAGCCAGGAGCCAGGAGCTTCTTCCAGGTCTTCCATGCAGGTGCAGGGGCCCAAGAACGGGCCATCCTATACTGCTTTCCTAGGCCATAGCAGAGAGCTGGATGGAAAGAAGAGCAGCCAGGACTGGAATCAGCACCCATATGGGATGCCGGCACCACAGCTGGAGGATTAACCTACTGTGCTACACAGGCCCCTCATAGGTAAATGTTATATACATATATATATACATACATAAACATACTTTTTTATCAGGTGCATGTATTAGGATCATATAATGTAGGATAAATGACAGATCATTAAATGAGGGAAGAAGGCTATCTCACTGTGAAAGAGATACAATTCAGTGAAGATGTTATATATATATCTATATAGCAAATAATATGACATGCACTTTCTTTTTTAATTAACTTCCACATATGAGAGAAAACATCTGGTGTTTGTCTTTCTGTGTCTATCTTATTTCACATGGTATAATGACCTCTAATTCCATCCATTTTGTTGTAAATATTAAGATTTATTTTTTATAGCTGAACAGCACTCCATTGTGTATATATATCATATTTAATTTATTCATTCATCTATTGATAGACATCTAGGTGGATGCCATATCTTTGCTATTATGAATAGTGCTGCAATAAACATGGGAGTGTAGGCATATCTTTCATAGGCTGGTTTACTTTCCTTTAGATATATTCCATGGTGTTGGATAGTCGGGTTTTACAGATCTTTATTATTAGTTTTTTAAAGGAAACCCCATACTGTTTTCCATAATTGCTGTACTGATTTTTATTCCCACCAAGTGTGTTAAAGTTCCCTTTTCCTCAACATCCAAGTAAGCATTTGTTATTTTTTGATATTTTGATAATAACTATAACTGGAGATAATACCTCATTGTGGTTTTTACTTGCATTTCCCTGATAACCATATTATTTAATGACCATTTGTATTTCTCTTTTTGAAAAAAAAATCTACTCAGGTCCTTGGTCTATTCATAATCTGCTTGTCTATTTTGTTGTTGAATTTCTTTTTACCTCTTTTATACTCTGGACATTAACACATTATCAGATGTGTAGTTTGAAAACAAATTCTCTTATTCTGTCAGTTGTTTCTTCATTGTGTTGATCACTCCTTTTGCCGTAAAGACGCTTCTCAGTTTGATATAATCCCATTAGTTTATTTTGGCTTTTATTGCCTGTGTTTCTGAAATATTATCCAAAAATCATTGCTCAACCAATGTCTTATAAAGTTTCCCCTATGTGTTCCTGTAGTAGTTTTATGTTTTGATTTATATCTTTGATCTACTTTGAGTTGATTTTTATATAGGATATAAGTTATGGGTCTTGTTTCAAACTTTTGCATTTAGAAATCCAGTTTATTGAAGAGACTGTCTTTCTTCCAAGGAGTGTTTTTAGCACCTTTGTAAAAGATAAGTTGGTTAAAGATGCATATATTTATTTTTGGAGGGTCTATTCTGTTCTTGTGGTGAATGTGCCATTTTTATGTCAGTATCATCCTGTTTTGGTTTCATTTGCCATGTAGTATGTCTTGAAATCAATTGTAGACAGGATGGAGAATTACTGATGACCAAAACTGCCCATTTGATTGACACAAAAATGGCACAGACAATCTGAATCTGGATGGCTAAAGGCAGGCAAAGCTGTTGCTCAAAGTTAGGTGTCTAATGTTAGGTATTTGGCAGAGCAGTTAAGATGCCACTTGAGATGCTTCAATTCCATGTTGGCATTCCTGGGTTCTAGATCCAGTTCCCAATTTCAGCCTCCTGCTAATTCATACCTTGGCAAAGAGCAGGTGATAGCTCAAGTATGAGGATCCTTACTAAACTCACATGGGAAACCCAAATTGAGTTCCTAACTCTTAGTCTTGGCCTGGAACAAAAACTGGCTATTATAGACATTTGGAATGGGTCCAGCAAGTTAAAGATTTTCCTTTGTCTATGTTTTCAAATAAGTTAAAAATAAATAAATAAAGTTGGGTATTCTGCTACACCAGAGCATCCTCCAATCAAACAGCATGGTTTTCTACATAGAGAAAGATTTATTCTTGAAATGATCTTCAGTAGTATCTACATTAGCCCCAGTCAGATGCAGTGCATGGATTTCTTTATCCCTTAGTGGAATATGCTGTTATACGTTCTTCCTCCTGCCATTACCTGTTCCAACTTCACTTTTTAGGATTTAACCTGAAAAACCTGAAATCACCTACCCATTCTATTCTTACTCAATATAACAACAAGCATTTACTAAGCATCTTGGAACTCAGGATCATGTACAGAGTACATCTTATAAAGATTTTGTCATTTAATGACTAATGTAGGCTTAAAAGATTATGCTTATTGATACCCCTCTGCATTAATGAGAAACTTGCCTAGATTACTAACAAATGACCAACAAGGGTATTTTTAAAGAGTTATTTGTGTGTGTGTGTGGGAGGGGAACTATCTTCCATTCACTGGTTTACTCCCCAAATGTTCACAATACTTGAGCTGGACAGTATGAAGCCAAGAGCCAGGACACCAACCAAGTCTACTATATTTGTAGCAGAACTCAAGTACTTGAGTCATAGTCTGCCACTTCCCAGGCATATTAGCAGAAAGCTGGATAAGAAATGTAGAGGCTGGATTCCAACTGACACTCTGACATGGGATGTGGGCATCTCAAGCTGCAGCTCAACCCACTGTGCCACAACATCTGCCCCAGGGTGACTTTTAATACTCGTGGTCAAGGACTGAAATTCTGCAGGGAGTGTGCGGGATTTTCTCCCAGCATCTCCCTGTTGAGAGTAGCCAAATCTACGGTTCTCTCCAAAGTCTCTATAGAATTAGATCCTTCTAGGGTCTAACTATCAACCAGTAGCCCTATGCACAAAAAGATTGAAACTGAATATTTTTCATTGTTTAATGATTGAAAGAATAGTTGGGAGAAGGTGCAAAAGAAGCTGGATATTGTGTATCTGGAATTTTATTCATATCAGTGGAAACCTCTGAGGAACTACTAAATGTTACCAGAGAAAATGCAGGGTTCTTGTCTTCGCGCAAGAAATAATTCAGGCGTGAGACAGAGTAGTGGAAAGTAAAAGTAGCAGAGTTTATTAGGGAAGGGACATCTGTAAGAATGGATGGGCATCTCTCCAGACAGGACCTGGGAGAGAGTGCCCAGTCATTCGAACTTGGGGTGGTGGGGGAAAGGAGCGAGGTTATGTGGTTGAGTAGAGAGATTACACCTGGCCAGACCAGGAGGGGGGCTCAGCAGAGAGGCAGAGGGCTGAGCACCCAGTCCAGTTGCGGGGGTAGTTTAAGGAGATGGGTCTCTGTCTTCACACATTTCCTCCTGAAACAAAGGATTTTATAGCTACAAATATTAAGAAGCTCCTATCTGAGTTTTCCCTTAAAGGTATCAGACAGGAGGAAGCCTAGCTGGTGCCATCCTGGGTTCAGAGGAAGGGTGAGCAGGACCCCCTAGAGAGTGGGGATCCAGAGCAGGGTGTTTCAAGTACAGATACTGGGCTGCACCTGGGAGACTGTGGAAGATTTGTCAGGCAGAAGGGGCGGGGACCTCCACCTGGCAGGTTATCAGGTAGAAGGGGACAGGGCAGGATGTGAATGCGGGGCTGCCCCTGAAACATTATTGGGATGACTTTGAGATACAGATGCATATGCTGGACACAGATGTCTTCTCTTTAGGCATGTCATACACACATAAGCTCATATCTGACTTCCTACCTAACACTAAATATTTTGGATTTTTCCCCTCATCATTATTAGTCAGAATTGATGGCTCACACCTTGGCTATTTCTCATTTT